CGATGTGGCGCTCACGAGCGCGTTGCAGCAGCACACCTGAGGAGTCAGATCGGGACAACTGGTCGAAGGCCATTGTGAACTCGCGCATGCCATTCTCATCAGGGGTGTATCCATACAACAGCAGCGTGTGAAGCTGGGAAGTCATGAACACGTTCATGGTGTCCTGCCAGCGCTTGTGGAACGGATCCGTCTTGCGCTCCTGTTGCGTGCATGCGTGTGTGTGTGTGCGTGTGTGTGTGTGTGTGTAAGTGTGTGCGCGCGCGTGTGGGTGTGTGTCGAGGATGCAGGGCTCAGGTTGTGCGTGGCATTCAGCACAACCACGTCAAGTGAAGGGTACATGCGCTCCCATGCGCCAAAGGGGCCTGCTCCTGCCCCTCCAGACACACACACACACATACACACACACATACACATACACACACACACACATACACACACACATACATACATACACACACACATACATACATACATACACACACCCAAAGTGCCACTGTGATGTGATGCGCACCTTGATGTCTGCCAGTTGCTTGGCATACATCATAAAGTCGTTCTTCAGGTTGGTTGTGTGGGTGGCTTGAATGTCGGCAGCCATCTCAACCGTGAGCGTGGGCCCGTGTGTGCCACCGGCGGTCATGTTGCGCACCGCCACCGCCACAAGTGTGGACGGAACACGGCGGCCTGCCACCGCCGCCGTCACCCGCCGTGCCACAGCACCAAACATCGTGCTCATCGTCTTGCTTGCTGTTGCTGTTGCCTTTGCTTAGGTATTTTTGTGTGTCGCTGTCGTGGAGAGTCAGAAATGTGTGGCGAGGCAAGCGGTGTGGAGGTCTGTCTGTCACTCTCTCACTCTCTCTGTCTCTGTTTCTCTCTCACTCTCTCTCTCTCTCTCACACCTCCCGCCTCGCTCTGTTTCTGCGTTTAACTCCACTTGTGCTGTGGATGCACCGTACAGCTGTAGCTGCTGCTCTCTCCCTTTATGAAGAACGTTCACCAATCACAAACAAAGGAAAGACAGTCATGGACACGATGGATGCGAGCAGCGGACATCATCAGCATCACGAAGCATAACAACCAGTACACAACACGTGCACCTGCGCAGAGTAAGAAGAAGAAGAAGTAGGGGCACATTGGTGGGCAACAACAACAACAACAACAACAACAACAACAACAACAACAACAACAACAACAACTTAAAACAACAACAACAACAACAACAACAACAACAACAACTTAAAACAACAACTTAAACAACAACAACAACAACAACTTAAACAACAACAACAACTTAAAACAACAACTTAAAACAACAACTTAAACAACAACAACAACACACACACACACAAAAGAAAATGGAGTGTTAGCTCTACTGGGAGCTGCTGTCACGGCCTGCTTGCTTACGGTCGCCCTTCATTTCCCGCTTCAGCTGTCGCTGGGCGCGCTTGAGGTCTCGACGCTGCTGTGCCAGGGCGCGGCGTTGCAGGCGAAGCGCCTGCATTGCTCCGGCATTCGTTGACTCAACGCCGCTACCGCCATCGGCACGCTGAACTTGCTGTTCGGCGCGCTGGCCGTGGTGTACAGCGTCAAACGGGTGCGGGTGTGGGGCGGGAGGCATGGCAAACGGTGGTGGTGGCATCGGGGCGAAGGCATACACTTGGTCATGGGCCCAGTACGGTGGCGGGAAAGGCGGCGGCACCATGGGCACCATGGGAGCCTGGTGCTGATGCATCCTGTGGTGGGGATGCTGGTGGTGCTGGTGCTGGTGGTGGTGATGGGGATGATGCTGACCATGCGCGTGGTGGCGCATGTGGTGGCGGTGGTGCATGTGGTGGGGGTGGGCATGCGCGTGGTGCAGTCCATGGTGGCGGCCGTGATGGCGGCCGTGATGGCGGCGATGGGCGTGATGGTGATCGCGTGCTGCGGACGAGGTGGTGGGCTCGTCGGCGGCAATGTAGTCGACCACGGTGACGATGAACGGCGTGGCGCGCTCCATGTCGTCCTCCACAGAGGTCAGCTCTCCGCTCGCGCCGTCGCTGGCGGAGATCAGGTGCACAGACCGCAGGCCAGGGCGGGACATGTGCACCAGCATTGGCTGGACAGATGTCGACGACGACTGGTGCGGCTGCTGTGCGGTGTACGACACAAGCGGTGCCAGGCACGTGAAGCGCCCACCGCGGCCGGCACAATCCACACCACCCCCACGGCGAATGCGCAGGTACCCGCCGCTGACGCGGTTCCGCAGCTTGATGCGGCCGGGCTTGCCGTGCTCCACAACAAAGTGGGCGGCCTGCGGGTTGGTGGGCGATGAGCTGTGGCGCAGCACGCCAGCGTCCTCGTCAACGTGCATCACGCGCCCGTCAGGCGTGCGCAGCGTCACGACCGTGCCGGGTGGGAACGCGAGCGCGTTTGACGACGACGTGGTGGTGGTTGTGGACGTGGACGTGGCGGTGGCCTGCGCCGTTGTAGGAGCCGGTGCTGCTGTGGTCGTCGATGTAGCGGT